TGGTAATTGTATTTTCGAATACCGTGCCAATTCTGCCATATTTACTGCCCTCGAAAGCACGGCAAGATAAAGAAAAGGACAAAAATAGGAGAATATGGTATGGCTGACTTTAGAAGCAAGAAGTACTTCGAAATTTGTCGCGGTATCACGAGCTTATCATCGCGTATAGTTATTTTTCGAGCGAATCCATTCGTTGCCCACTCAAAGTCCGGAGAATGACGGAATATTCGAGAGAATTCGAGAAATTCTGGAGATTTTTCCAGAAAGCGAATAGATTTCTGTTCCTCGAAGAAACGGTATCGAGGTATAACGCGTATTTTCACTCGTTCCATGGCTTTTTCGTTAAATCCCTGCTCCTCGAATATCCATGTCGCAAACGCGATATTGATCCCACGTCATGGACAGGAAAACATTCGCTTTAGTGGACGTTGAACGTTCTCGTGACTTCGTGACGATTTTACGAGTGGTTGTTTCCAAGTCTACGTGTAAAGTTCCATCCGTGTATGGTGGTAGTGTAGCCCTACGAAGGTTCCTGAACCAAGTCATCGTATAATTCGAATATTAATTAAAATAAAACAGAAACATCTGTACTTCCATGTGTCAATGATTAAATCGTTATACATTTAGTCACTCTGAAAGATTACAGTCACGGATATTAATAGCGCAGTGAGTTTAGTAGCCACTCGTCAACTTCGTGCCATTAACTAGAACATAATATATACACGCTTTCTTGAGAGCCATAAACAATCCTGCAATATGACTTGAAATATTCGCAATTTTTCTTCCATATAATTATTCATTTTTACGAGCCCAGTCACGCAATTTGTCACCTAATTCATCACGATTCGCATTCTCAATTACAATCCCAAACGATGTGTCTTCTTAGAATTTCATTATTGCCAACTACAGTGGTGCATCTCGTAGCGTCAATCTGCTCCTTTTCTCTCTTCGTGAATTTTTCTTCCACGTGTCTCGAGTAAAGATACATGGACCCAAGCTCGTAAGAAAATCAACGATCCCCGCGAGCCTGAATTTCGGCAGGGAAAAGTGTAAGGAAGCTTGCGAAACGAGGAGCAAGCGGGTAAACCTAGAAAGCTTACACACGCGGACGAAGGAGAACATTCTGACATGCTCGGTTTACTTGGTCGTTCGACCGTAAAATCGCCATTCTTCACGGCAAACCGTCACTGTCATAATCGCTGTCAGCCGAACGGGAACGCGCAACACGTTGCCACTGCGCGTCGGCGGATCGAGCGGAGCTGGTAGCGAGCGAAGAGCGTGCGATTTGGACAGTGGCATCGATGCAGGCGGGACTGCATCCTGGCATTGTGAGCAATGTCATTGCCTCCGCGGGCCCTTGCTTGGTCGAGGACGAGTTTCCGGCACGCGCGATCAACGCCAATGCCAAGTCGAACCGATTCATCGGGCTCCATTTATCAACGCTGACCGCGGGGCCAGCCGCGTTGTAAATCTTCTTTAAACGCCTTTCGCGGATTGTCGCGTGCGACTGACTCGCGGCAGACTCGCCACCACGGTACTCGATTCACCGGATTGCTTTGTCATCGGTCGCGATTAGAAGCAATATCGAGATGTCGATTAGATCGTATTAACGATCGTTGTAGATCATTTGGTCGCGGAGTGGAACATTTTGCTCGATTAGGTTTGGGACTGTAGACGTTCCAAATCGATGGGACAGTGAATTTTGGTAGAGACTTCTATCTAGGTACAGTGGAGAGAAGTTGTCATTTTTCTTTTGGCCTCGTTTATGAGTCGAAGGTGTGCTATTGCGTTGACGTTCACAGACGAGAATTGGACACAATGCGTAAAATACACGAAACACGAAAATCGAAAAATTTTTCAATCTTCCATTAAAAATTAATGAAATTATAGGGGGTTCTACCTCACGGTTGTTGATACCTGTTTGTCGCAGGTATTCTCAGCCTCACGGTGGTGTTAGAAAGGATAAAAGATTTATAATTTAGGATAAACATGTCCCCCACGGGGTATCGATAATGGTGACTGTGAAGTTCCTACGGTGCTGTCAGTTGGTATCCCCTAGGTCGTTGAGCGTTGACATGCAGCAGGTAGAAGGACGCAAGGAAGGGATGCGTTTCGTCCTGGGCCTACTAGTGGACTCATCGATAAGGCTACCTAACAGACCCTGCCTTAGACGGCAACGCTATTGGAAAGCTTGGAAATTGTATATATAGCAAACGGAGGGTTTTCTTTTTTACCGAGAACTTGCAAGAAAGTCCTCGAACCTCCTATCCATCTATTGGCGAGGGTGAGAATGATGGCGCCACAAAACCAAGGTCCTTAAAACGCTTGTTACTTAACAGTGGAATAAAAATAGGAGGCAATCTTCGGTGAAATTTGTATTCCATGTCAACCTCGATTTTAATTCGCTATCCAGAGCACGAATTTTCGAGCTGACTCGATCTCCCAGCGAGGCGTAATGAAGCTTCTAACGAGACACATTTAAACTGGATTTCACGCGAAACGAGTTAACCGTCAACCACGACTATCATAGTAGACAACCGGATGGAAAGATTGGCAAACATTTTGCTCATTGGAGACGTGCGCGCGAGGAAGTGGCAGAGGAACGGATGCCATCGAAATCGTGACCGCGTACAAACCTATTTCGAGAAAGTTACACGACGATGCTCCAGCGTGACTACTCGCGTTCGGCACACACGAGATTCTCGTTCGTAGTAAACTTTACCTTGAGCAAATTATAGGATGAAACGTTGTATTACAGGCCGATCCGTTTGATCGACGCTTACGAGAGGAGTAACGCGAGAGAAACCGTTTTGTTTACTTTCCAACCGGTCTAATGCCTGTGTTTAGTGGCATAATCTCGTATTAATTGCTCCTACGTGCAGCAGATTTCATCGTTTTTCCTAGTTTCATCGACGTCCAACGGAAGTCTCCGTGTAACGTGAACGTTGCTCGCATTAGTACGTTAGGCTCGAAGGAGAAACGATATATTTCTTCCGTGGTTGATTTCATGCTAAAATTACTTCTTTCTTATCGCGATTCACGGTGGTTGTAAAAGCTAGAATATTTTCTTCTCTCGTAATGCACTATTTGCGATGATTTCCGATGGAACGAGAGCAAAGAAACGAAACAGCGAATGTACCATCGGAATAATTTTCTCCTTGGGTCTCTGATACATCAGAGAGATAATAATTCGTTACGTGCAACGGAGAAAGGAATCGCGTTAATTTTTCGTTCGATGAACATTCTTCGCAAACATTTTACCATCGCTAATTTCTGCAAATTTAAAAAGTAGGAGATTTTAACGAAGAGACGTTTAGATGACAGGTAAATGTTTTATTTTCGCTTTATGCTCATAGATGAATGCGTCAAAAACGCATCCCCCGTAGTCTTATAGGACATGTCTGCTCTCCGTGGCCTCGTCTTCACGTGTCAATAGCCTCTTCGGCTGAACTCCGGTCCAGAAGTCCCAGCTTGGTGTCTAAACATCCCCATCTGTGACCGTTGTCCTTAGATCTGGGCAGTCTTCCTAGAACCCCAACGAAGGGCTTTCTCCCGCCGAAAGACAGTGGGTAGCGGTGAAAGTTGCTCACGCTTATGAACAATTTTCATGACTCTTCCGAATTGACGTTCGACGTCTGTTGCACCCCGAACACTGCAACTCTCACGGTGGGAGTTTCACGGGGTTGTAAGTCCCGTTTACGCTGATGCGACTATGTTGCTGGGGTGCGGCCTACTCTAAATTAACCCTTTGCGGACGGAGCGGTTTTGAGTAAACTGTACCATGGGGCCGAGATAGTGATTCAAAACTACCGACGCTCGTCTCTACTTAAACGCGATTTTCGTTCATAGCGATGCTCGCAATAAGGACATAAACATCCCTCCATTTAACTTGGGACCTTCGGTCCCAGGGCCGCAACATCGTCCAATCAGGGATCTCGTCGATGTCGAGTCGACCAAACACGGAGTACAGCAGATTCTAGATCGCAAGATTTTCTCGAAGCTAATTAATTAGCGCGATTTAATTCGCTCGTACGGAGCCGTTGCACGCCAAGATCTCGATATTTATGCGATCCACTGAAAAATCGTTTCGTATTCCGCGGATCGATCGTGATCGAAGGTCGTATCGATGAACAAAAAGAAATTATTTAACATATATAATACGCTTTCGGAATAATTTCGACGCGGAACGTGTGCCACACCGACGTAACCCATGAACGGGCAGCGTCCACTTATTCGGTAATTATCCTCGTTATTTTCTCTTTTTACTCTTCCCGCGGTGAGTTTCGCGTAATCAACGATTCCGCGACGACTGGCCAATTTCTTAATTTATCAGCTCCTTTATGCATTATTCAAACGCGTGGAATGGCTACTAGAGCGATCAACATTTTCGTCGCGGATACTCGATGACGCGGACGCTTATCGAATAGCGATTTAAGAATAATTACGTACGTGATTTAGAGAGTGTGATCCAGTCACAGCGGATTTTTGTATTCACCGGGAGATCCTTTGACACTGACATGGACTCAAGCGATGGCATATTGCACGCATAATACGACGTTGTCGGAACGTAGATACCGTGATTTGCATAAACGTTCCTTGCATTGTCGTTCCGAGCTTTGGCGACTATTTTACTCGATTAGCTTCGAAGCTATTAAATTTCCATACGAAACGTAGGAAGCAGAAAAAGAAAGAAGGCACGAGTATTGGAATAATATTTAAAAATTACAGGAAGAAATGCGATAATAAATATCGTAGCGACGAGATTATTGCGGATTTTATTTATTCTCGGAAATTTTGGAAATTTGAAAAATAACGAGTGTATCGGTTTCACCGGTGAATTCGTTGGACCGTTACGCGAAATCTTCCCCTCAATTTAATCAAGGAGAAAAGGTTTTCGTGGAAACACTAGGGACGATCTTGCTGCCAAGAGAACTCTGGTCGCCACTCATCGGAGGCAATATCCTAGCGATGCTTTACGTTCGTGTTTCCTCCTGTTTCAGCGCCAAACAGCCCACTCCATCTTAGCAACAGGGCTCACGTTTTGCTCCTGCTCAATAGGCCTCAAGCCTCCCTCACGGACGCTGATCATGCTGTTAGGCTACGACCGGACTGGGGCAAGGTGAGAAACTCCTTTTTGTCATGGTGCATTATCTCGTTAAGACAGCGTGTAGCGAGTGTTCAACCCATAAATGGATAGTATTGTGTGTAAATAAGGAAATAGTAGATTTTGCTCGTTATTTTTATCCTTCTCGTCGTTTACAAATTTGGAGACCAAAGCAAATGGAAAAAAATTACGACATCATGACGGATGATTTTGCTTTATTCTAAGAGGAGAAGAAAAATCTTTTTTCTCTTTAATTTCAATTATTTATTCTATCGATAAATCTTCTGCTTGGTCCAACTTAAAAATCCACGCAGCGTATGTTATGTTACATATTATTATAATAAATATGGTCGTAAAGGATGAAAAAGATAACGTAAAAATAATACATAGAGACGTGAATCGGTATTACTGAAAATTCCGCACGCGTGAAAGCATATTTTGCAAAGTTTTTCTTTTCTTCGTGGAAACCGTAACATAGGAGGCAGTAGGTTTCTCCTACTTGGCACGCTGCTCGATCAGATGTTTGGCGACGTATTGTCCCTCTACCCTTAACCCAATCCTGAACCAAACCCCCCCGAACCATGCGTAATATATTACATCCAACCTAGTTCCTAGGGTCAGATTGGATCTCCGGTCCAAAACAAGCATCTTTTCGAGGAACGTGACGGATAGGAGCAATTCCTCAATGTACGAAATAATTGTTTTTGCATAAGCTATTTAATTGATTTAATATCCGAAGCACGCGCAAGATGTGAAAATTGATATTTGTTAATGTTCTTGGTGAAAAATTATCGCGATACTTGTAGTTTGCGAATAACATGTTTTTAACGTTCCTCTCGCGCGAGTTGTTTGTACAATCGTGCAAGTAAAAGCAAATATGGTAAAACGAGATTATTTCAGTGTTTTCTGTTACTATAACTTTACAATCAGAGTACGAAAAAATAAGCAAATGATACGTTCAATGAAAATCGTGTTGTGGTAGCTACATGTATCATTTATACTAATAACGCAAGTCGATAATAACATGAATCATCGCGCTCTGATATTGTTTTTAACAACGGAGGAAATAGTTCGGTCGTTATTCCATATAAACAAAGTAGCTCTCCGTGTATCTTAACGGTTTCAATCCAGAGAGAAAAGTTTCGAACGCTTTGCAATTTGCATACAATGAGTCAATTAACGACGAATAAGCTATTCCACATTTTCCATTCCGCGACGCGAAATGTCAGAACAGCCTTCTTTCCACGATTTATTTCATCGATGAAATTTCTCGCGCTTCTACGCCTATGCATCGTACACCAAGTTTATAGTCGGTTTTATATCTTGGTACCGTTGCACAAATTACGCGTTTATGCTGGTACCGTTGTAATCTGACAATTAGGAATAACTGTTTAGTCGAAACGTACTCCTGATAAAGTATCGTAGCTTTTATTGATTTCCCGAGTTTTTATATTTTTTTTCCATATTACAAATTGGAAAATTATTTTTTTCAATTTCGCCATGCAAATGGAAGTTTAATCGACGTTGCTGGCAGACATCGATCGAATTTTAATTGTACCTTCGACATCTGTCAACAGGGCCATTACAGACGAGGGGTGGCGCTGTCAGCGCTGGGCAGGCACGAGGAGGCGCTGTTTGCCCTTTGCATTAGCGTGGCCATTGACAAGAATCCTCAAGCTGTGCGTCATGAATTGATCAAGGTATGTCGACTTTTACGTGGACGTAAATGTCAAATTATCCTACGAATAATGTTCACCTTTCTCGCTTTGCGAAAACCTACCTGACTCTCTGACGCATATCAATTGCAGCTGGATTTCATAGAATCGATTTATCCGCCCTGCTATCGAGATATTTCCAAAATTGAAAGATACGAAAAATTTAATTCGTCGTTCCCATAATTCGGCAGATTATCATCCCGGATTGTCGATTACTTTAACGAAGAACACGCGAAAACACAACGATGCGTTACGCGAGTTACATCATACGTGCAGAAAGGAAGCACGAATGCACCCTAACAGGCTACGTTATATCTCGAGGAGTCAACGACACGATCCGCGAAGTAATTCCCGACACGGAACGAAATCCTCGGCCCCCCGCCATTGGAGTGGGGCCCGTTAGCGCTTTATTCTCATTTTAATATGGTCGCGAGCGATGCACGAGCGTCGGCGCGGACGAACGGTACAAAACGAGCGACAGAGAGATCAAGATACCGCGGCTAAGTCACGAACGTATACAAAAGAAATGGACGTCTGTGCGCGACGGCATTTCCGGTACGGCTGCTAGCGGTGTAGCTTAATGACTCGGTATGATAGTCGTCAGGTGAGTGACCCGCGCCGGGGCAATGATAACCGCTCGCGAGTAGACGCGCCGCGTCGTTCTAGTGCCGGCGCTGCTCGTTGCGTGACGCGTCTTCCTCTTCATCCTCGTTTCCCAACTCCGCGCTTCTCTAATTTTTCTCAACTTCGCCGTCTTTCCGAACGATCGTGTATTACGGCGAGAGCCACGGTGGGGTCTGTAAAGACGCGGTAATTGGATGAGCAATGTGCGCGCGTCGGATAGAGAGGAATGGAGAATTAGTCAGGGATGGGTTAAATTTGTGTGTTACCGATTCAGAGGAACGGAGATTTGCCACAATGCGATGCTCGCGATAGACGTCCCAGCTTCTTAGCGATCTAGTTACTTCTAGGGATTGGGGGGTGTCTCAGACGTCGGATATTCGAAGATCGGTGACTCGTCGATCTTAACACTTTGCTGTCACGCAGGCGTGACTTTTCCTTGTCGATGATTATTGGCCGTTGTCAGCACGACAACAATGCTTCCACTGTGCTTCTGTTTTAACTGTCCCGATCGTCTTTTCTTGGCATTCTTTAAGCAGATGCTTGTTTCATTAGTCTCGGATCTCAGTGCCTTTTTGAATAACATCCATACGGTGTAAATATGACCGTCAGTGAGCAGTAGAATCCGCGCGAAATTCCCCGGTAACAACGTACAGGCCATGCGAACGGCTGTCAAAGTGTCAAGACTGGATCTCGGTCTTCGAAGATAGACACACGCGTGTCTATTTTTCCTTGGTTGTCTTACTCCAGCGAACGAACCTCGTAATCAATGGATCGATTTTTAATTAAGTCACGATCTCTCTTATCTTTGCTTCTACGTTGGCTATATCCGATAAGCAATGGCATTGACTCGAATTAGGCGAGTAGTCTTCGCGTCCGTTGCTACAGTTATGTAAATTCATCGAACGAGATTAGTATAGATTCTGTTCGCTCTCTCGCTTCGCGTGAAATGCACGGTTAAAAATTTGTACGATCGTTACGGGTTCCGTTGTCGTTCATAGCGCAAATCACGGTACCGTGGTTCGCGCTAAAAGTCACCTCTGGGTGAAAAAATTACGCGCCCAAGCGGGAATCAAAGGGTTAATTAAATCCGATTAAATCTGATTCCGCGAGAAAGAGCCGTGATGACCGTAATGATTATGCCGTGTTGCATTAAACGAAGACCTCGTCACGCAGCCAGTACCCTTTTAGGCAGCCTTTGAACAATCACGTTCCTTTATTCTCTGAGAAATATCTGATTAGCCGGGACGATAACGGAATTAACGCTGGAAAGATTGCACGAGGCAAGGCGTCCTCTTGGCTAATTTACGAAAAATTCATTTTTCTCGCTAACGTGTATTATTTCGTGATTTAGACGAATTCACAAATTTCTCAGCTGCAGATTGGTTCCAGGATCAACAGCGCGAAACTTTGCGAAATCTTTGATTTGCAAATTCCTTTTTCCCGCCATCTTGCACTACGAAACAGACAGTACCGATTGATAGAAAGATTAAATTCCTAAATACTCGTCTATAAATTATCCTTTTCTCCTGTGAGAAGAGCAAAGCGGATCCGTGGTCCAAAAGCGTAGAGCGAAAGTGCAGAGAAAGAATTCGCGTATTAGCCAAACCATCTCGCTTCGATCAAGATCAGGTTTCTATGATGGTTCAGTAAATTTCAACGATATTGTTTTTTTTTTTTTCCTTTCCATGCAAATATCGCGTGCTTCGTGGGCGTGTAAAGACGAACGAGCCAACTCGGGTGTAAATATTCCGAGAATCGACGTTCATGAATAACTCGCAGCATTAGGCCGAGTCGTGCACACGATTCGATTCTCTATTATATAATAAACTCGCGAGCAGCACCTACACGTTGGAGAAAAAGGAGAATTAAGCCGAGGAAAAAAGAAAGAGGCAATTTATTTCCCAGCTGACCTCCTGGACACCGTATCAGCCGACGATGCGACGATCGTGCGTTCCAATAAGGCTCTCCAGGTGACTGACCCAAGGCTAGTCCACATTGGAGGCAAGGCCAGCGGTAATCACGTGCAACTCGATACGTTTGACTCTTCCAATCGTGGCTATCGAATTAGTCGGTGCAGCTGCGTTTTCTATCCTTTGTGTACCGCGATTCCCCGATTCGTTTAACGCTAGATCTCTAATTCGCGTTTAGACACGGTGTACATAGGTAATGGTTGTTAAAGTCACACGACGAAGATTCAAAGCCATGCGCCGTCGTTGGTCTATCTCAGCGAGAGTCAAAGCAATAAAAGCAAAACCAAGAAGTCCGATACGAGGCATTTCGCGTGGGTCGATTGTTCCAGTGTCAAGAGCTATCATTGCGTCGCTGTGCGATACTCGAGGAAATAGATATTCTTGACTTATCGAATTCTTAACGAGATATTCACCGCAAGTGATCGCAATCTGGAAAACAACGGGACTTCTCGTTAGCTTAGTCAAGAAACGTAATGTCACACAGCTGAAAAGGTACCGAAGAATTTTTGTTCCTCCTTGTAACAGACTCTAGCAAGTATGAATAACGGTCAACGCGGAAATGGAATATCGCGGTGATGCAATCAATCGCGAGAAAACTTCCGACGGAATGATAAATGTAACGATAAAGTTACGTTAAAATACCCAACTGGATTAGCCCTTTTAATGCTGAGCGAAAAATGGGCGCCTACGCGAAGATAACCGGACGAGCTTGACGAATTTACTAAGGTTTGGGAAAATTCATAAAAACCAAACTAAGAATGGTATTTAAAAAATTCAAAATGCAGCGTATTACGGGAGAAAGGGAGAATAATGTAATGCCAATTGTATTTCAACATTTATCGAAAATCAATACAAATAACATCCACATAAGACAAGATGAAAAACAGAAACAAGTTTCTCTTCTACAAGCAATATTTGCACACGAGAATAATCAACCAACCAGTATAGGATATAACGAAAAGTTAAACTCAGAAACAATTTTTTAAATTCTCTTGCAACGAAATCAGTTCATTTGTAACATTTTATAAATTTATTTTGAGATAGAGCTTTCTCGCAATGCGAAGAATAAGCCGCCATCGTGTACGCAACGATATATCGCTAGATCTCTGTTTTCGTCTTACACGATCAGCATATCAAACGTTAATTTTCACCCATCAAATAAAAATTCTATTATTTTCAATTACAATGGATCACGAAATCTATCAAAAGAAAAAAAAAAATAATTTATTCGCCATCCACTTGATATAACAACGAAACATAGCTCATGCTGCTCAAACGTGGCTAACGTAACAGCGAAACTATCGATCCACCGGAAACCCTGAAATTTCCCAACGACAAGGTTTCAATTAACAAACCCTTCAATCGGAACCTTTAATCGAACAATCTCGCAAGATTTGCATATACAGCAGCGAAACGCGCAACGCCAGCCACACGGGATTAATCACTCGCGGTGAACCATGGGTAGCCTACGCAACCGATCGCGAACGATCGCGAAGCCGATCGATTTAACGGCGCCAGAAGGGCGAACCGGGGGCTAACCGGGGTTAGAATTCGCCTAGCGACGAACGAATCCACGAGGCAGGGCAAATTGAATTTCGAACGGCCATTACGTAACATAGACGCTGGTGGAATCATTGACGCAAGTTGCACCGGTACTTATATAAGATCGAGGAATCGTTCTTTTTGCGTGGCGCTCGAGCCGTAGGGCAAACAGTTCAAAGTCTCCGCGTCTCTGCCGCTTTCTTCCAGCAAAAATCCTCCGCCATTGTGTCCGGACACGGCTCAACCCGGAGGAAGTTGCACAAGGTGTCGCGAAATTTTGCCACTCCATCCTCGTCCACCTTTCCTCGCGACTAGCTTTTTCATTCGAAAAGAACACTGTTCCCGACACGTTTCTCACATCCTTCCCTGACGTTAGGCGAAATTAACGATCGCGAATGTCCCGAAACGGTACGTTCGCATTATGCAACCGCGTTTTTCCTAAAACGCTAGGAGTTTAGTCGGGCAAAAAGACAGAGTATCCCGTTGAGAGGAATTCCATTGTGAACGTTTTGGAGTGTGTTCAGAAGTCAAGGTTCGAAAGAAATAAATGGTGCATTTATCGAGGCACTTGAACTTGGGTTTGGCGAGGTGTGTTGCGTTCAACGGCGTTATAAATCGAAGGTGGTACGGGTTTATGCACGCGGTAGTATCTCGTTTAATAAATGACTGCCGCGAGATGGTTGTACAATACGATACGTTGTTTTTCCGAAGTTATTATAGATAATTGTAGAAGCCGGGTTACGTAATAGTCACTATAGAAATCGAAGTACTGCCGTTTACCGTTTCAAGAAAATCCCACGTTCCACTTCTGCGACGAAACGCAAAGCGGAGAGTTTATTGTGTCTTTCGTTTGCCTGTTTTTCGCGAAACGCTCAATTTCGTTCAGATTCCACTACCCGCGGCGAAAAAGAAAATCCGAACAGTGAAAGTTGGGGAAAAAATAGAACTCGCCTCCAAACGCATGCCAAGAACTTTGCGCGAGTACTGTGATTGCAACGCACGTTAAATTGTTGGAATGTAAGGGATATCGTTTACATTCATCTACCATGTTCTCCATGGTAAATTTGCATTATGATACTTACTACAATTCGTCTACAACAGAACCTCGCATAATGACATTTAATCTTCCACGAGATTATGTAACTGTTGCTTCAAGCTAAAGGTTCGCTTTCGACATCAAGAATATTCGAAATATTCGCGAATTTGCTTGTACAGTAATCTTCCTCTATTTTACAATTTTTATCAACGAACATCGATACGAATAAAGCCAAATTTCGAATATTATCGCGTACCGTGCCACGTGTACCATTTGTGAGGTATTATACAAAATGTAGTATAGAACAAAGCACGTAAATTTGTTTCATTGTTATATATACGATAATTATTAATTACACGTAATGGTTGACTGTTTTAAAGCAAGTTTTAAAGCAAGTAATGATTGACTGTTCTAGTTCTTTTTACTAATCGAAAATTTTCCAACTGACTGTCTTTTACAGACGAACTGATCGCAGTGCCACGTGTCCCATAAGTGATACACGGCGCGATAACTACTCTAAACAAGCTAATTACTTATGGATTGACGATGTAACGACATATTGTGCGATAATATATCAATTTTTAGCCAAAACAACAAATAGCTTTGCACGGAACGTGTTATATATTACCAGTGTCCTCATAATGGCACCAATGAATTGCAGACTATTGAAAATTTGATTTTATCCGCTGTGATATTAATTCCGACTTTGTGCGATTATTAATGTCTTCGATTCGAGTAAAACCGAGAAACTATAATCGGTCGTACCTCTGCTCTCGCGAGTAAAAAGCATTTCCAAAGGGTTCGCTACTACGTCCCACTGCTCACTCAAAACGGACAAATTGCTATCCACGTTGTTCCTCGGTGAAATTACAACGCAGGAGTAAAAAGCGACGCTGATCGTTAGAACGAGCACCTCGTGTAATCGCACGATGGTTACAAACGACATCCACTTATCCCACGTGAGTGGTCGCTAGCGATCGACACGTATTCGCAACAATATTGCAATTACCTCGCGTAATTTTTCCTGTTCGCACCGAGGCGACCGTAAATCCCGCTTACAAGGATTTACCGGGCCCATTTGCATGAAACATCGGGCCGCGACAAAGATACGTCTCTATCGCGTAGCGCTCGACACCGCGAACGCACGATTCCTCGACGAGAGTCGCGGCTTTCACCGTTCGACCGCATTAGAATTACAAAAGGCATCGCCTGGTATTGTCTTCAGGTGCTGTACAAAGTGTTGTCGTCCGGGCATCGTCGTTACAGCCTGCCGTCCCGCGCACCCTACAACCTCACCGAGGGTGCATCGCGCACGAGGAGTCGGCATCAGTTGATGAACCCCAAGAGGAACCGTCGGGCGGCTCTCAATGTCTCCGACTGCGAGGATAATAGCAGCGGCGGAGAAGATGAATTTACACAGGTAAGAATTTTTTCCTCATTTTTCAAATAAATTTTTCAAGAAAATTTCAATCGCCGGTTTCGTTCAAATTTTCCGTACTTTATTCAAACAACTCCCGATTTTCGTCAAATTTCGGGTAGCAAAATTGTAACGAAATACGCGAATTTTTGATCATTTGTTTGATAATTTCCTCAGGATGACAAAATTTGTCAAGAAAACGGAGAGGAAGATGTGATTGGTTGTTGCAAAGTTGGAAACATCGATTTCTGTCATTCCATGAAAAATTTTCACGATTAATGAATTACGTGAAATTTTCCAATGTTCGCGTTTCCTCGTAAGAATTTGACTGCAACTGTTAGTACAAAGTTAACCACTATCGTGCATGCTCGCGAATTATTAATTTTATCGAGACGCTAACTGCAGTGCTAGCGAAGTATCGACAATCTTGCAGAAAAATGAAAGCCACTTCTGCCAATCTTGCTGATCAGATTTTTTCGTATGAAATTACTCTTCGAGTTTCGATATTTTGTTTTATCTGTCATACCGTGTCAGAAATAATACTCGAACGATTCTATTTAAAAATTTCGAAGGTATATATCATAAAAATACATCACGTCGAGTGCACAGCCGTATAAATTAGATATTATTATTCTCCTGAAAGCTGCGATACTATTTCCATTGTTGTCGAGTATCGTATTCAGTTTTGTTCCATTGCCAAATTGCTGATGAAAGTACCTATGGTCCAAAATGATAGAAATATTGAAATATATTTTTAGCAAGTTACGACTACGTTGTAGAATTCTCAACTTCTCTATAATTTCAATTCCGTAGAATTTCAAGCTTGGACCACATAATTGAAAATAAGACAGGGAGTCGAAATTGTTTGGAAAATGTCGCAAGATAGATTCAATTACCGTATCATGTGTGTGTCATTTCGTCAAAATATTTATACTCGGTTGAATCGGATTCCTCATTTACGTAACGTTTTAGACGTTGCATTCTTTTAATACCGAGTACTTCTATCTATAGTTCTTGATAACTGAATAACCGTTTTAAGAGTGACATCATCGGTCAGGTACAGTTTCATGCTGACTTCGAAGTTACGATTGAATTATCAAATGACTTCGCTACCGTTATAGTTATTGTTTATTGGCTCGCTTGGCGAAATTCTCGTTTTACGCTTATTGACACTTTGGCAGCGTCGACGAGCGACAGAGGCCTATGACGCGTTTAAAAATAAATTCGCGTTGTGCTAAATTAAAAATATTAAAATTCATATTTATATCCACGAGGAAAATGATCGTTTAACGAAGAAGAAAACCCAAATTCTTGGTTTTGAATCGAAGTTCTGAGAGTCAGAGTAACTTGAAAATACCTACGAAGCAATCACGTATGTCGAGCATGCGTGATTAATCATGGAAGAAATCCCACTAAATATCGAAGATCGAAGAAAAAGAGACACTTAATCATCGTTTTGACCCGGGAAGTCGCAATTACAATTTTCCTCGCTCGATTTCACGCTGCTCCTCTGTTCTTTTCTCCAAACAATACTTACCTCGACAACGGTAATCGATATCTCAATCGTATCCCTCGATTATCCGTCGCGCACCTTGATTAATCGTCTTCTTTCTACCGGGGAGATCAATGTTCGAGACTGATTTTAACGACGCGTGTACTTCTTGCCGCGGAAAGCACGTAATTAACAATCAATTTGCAATTATTATAGATCGACGAGAAATACGGATATCGCGGCGGTAATAAGCGGCTAGCCTGCTGGAACTTATATAAACCCGACATTTCAATTACTATCGATCTTGCGGCCAGGATAAGCCCTGTCGGTGTTCGGTAACCAATAATCGTTCACCACGTTTAATTACGAATCCTCTCGTTAACGGAACCTCCAATTTTATCTCTGTCTATCCACGCGTTATTCTTATATCATTTTCATTCGTGCTTGACTGCGTATTTCGTAATAATTTAATAGCGAAGGCAGACATGTCGTGAAATATTAGCCAGATTAGGTTGGGTAAAGGGAAAGGATGGTCGTTTAAATCACATTCAAATTCGAGGTGTCGAGAGTGCGGATTATCGAGATTATCCGATCCATTCGATAAGGAACTCGATTCTGGATGTGGGAAATAGAATCAGTTTTTCAGGTATGATATTTACGAAACGTGCACGTGGATTAATTACACCTCCGTTACGCGATAGAATATAATGGTCGACAATGGAATAGATAATGGAATAGATTGCACGAAATACAGTTACCGGTGATATAAAATTCTCTGAATACCTCAGATACGCAAAGGTAGGAAGATATCGTTTAAACGAATGATCTGAACGACGAAATTTTCCATGAAAACCGTCATGCGGAATTTCCGCGCGTGACCAGTTCATTATTGACGCGTGAACGGTGGAAAATATGGTTTTCGAGGGAACGCGAACGACATTGTAATTGCATCGACGAGGAGAGAAACAGGCGAAACGAAATATCGAGGAATTAGGTTTCGAACAGATTCTCTGGTTGCGTAACCATCCATTAGGCGTTACGCAAGCCCGCGGCGTCCCGTTGCGAATAAAGATGAATTGTATTTCAAAGAAAAGGAGCTCTAATCGTGTCAATCCTAATAATTTGAGATTAAAGTTCGCGCTTAATCCAATTATGCTTGTTGATTCATTGCAGACCGTTAGCAGAAGACTCCTGTCAACCACGGCACCACAAAACAACACCAAGTTACAGGCTGGCCTAGATCGCCTCTACCAGGACATAGAAAAATTGAGAAGTAAGTCTGAATAATTAGTCAACGTTGAATTGTCAAGTATAATGCGCGTGAAGAATCGTTTAACCGTTTACTGTCATTTATATTACTATTATTATTATTATTATTATTACTATTATTATTATTATTATTATTACTATGAAGTCGCGTAAGCATATTTAGTGTCATTTATATTATTATTATTGCTATGAAGTCGTGTAGACATATTTGGCGTAATTTATGTTGTAATTATGGTATTTAAAATTCCCGAGCAATAATTGGAATTCGTTTCAATTAGAAGTAAACAGCCGATATTCGTGTTTGAATTATTTATATTTACATTGTGATTGTAATCACTCTAGTCTATCTCACAAGTCAGTCGAATTTGCACAGCGTTTGAATTATATATCGTAACGAGGTGTCGGAATACCGACGTTTACCCAATATAATTAGTATTATTTAGGTATCTGTACGTCGTTTCAATAGTCCTGAAATTCGCCAGGTTCTCGATCATCTAAAGCAAATGTGTTTTCCTACGACAGACGAATTACAGTTTGAAAAGGTTAACCGATTACGTTTTATCTGACATTTCATATTAATAACCGACGTTGCACATTTACCACGATACGCGCGGCTGAATGCGTACCATTGATAAACGGATCCCCGAGCTATTTAAAAGTAAAGTTCATTCAACGCCCGAGAAATACCAAGGGACATCTCCTCCACTTATTTCTGCGATCACGTTAATTGACTGTGCAACATCTTCAGCTTCTTATTCGCGGCAGATTAAATCTTTCC